CTACCTCCAATTGCTAACTGTGTCATGGCACCCTTTGTTGTCACATCTCCTAAGACCTTTTCAATAATTTCATTTCTTCTTTCCCTGGTTAAATCAATTATTTCAAAATGTTCATCATCTGAAATGGAAAGTAAAAACATGGTGAACACACCAGGTCTCTAAAACAGGTAATAATGGATGTCTACCATTATAATCAATGATTGGCTGTCGAGAACCTGACAAACAGTTGAACATCTGGTCATGATGGAGGTCCACCATTAGGATCACTAATTGGCTGTCCAAAAACAGTATCAAAATAAATACAAATTATGTATGTAACAATTTTGAAATTATTTATCCGTAAATTACAGAGATGTTTCTATGGTCAATTTAAGTACCGTATTATTTTAATGATTCAGTACACAACAAATGCGATTTTTTGTTTTATGTTCTATGAGCATCTAATACTGCAAAATACTTTATTTTTTTTTGCTTGGAATTCATTTTCGTTATTTTTGCTGAAGGAATGCTTCAGTGAAAATAAAATCCAGCGTATATATTTCGTATATTTTTCATTTAACTCATCAAAAATCAGTGAAAATTAATTCCGGCTAATATAAAGTATTTTACAGTAGAGCAAATATGGTAATTATGATGAGTATGGTACTGTACTTATGTGCATGATATACAATATTCATATATATGTAAATGATGTACACACAAATAATTGCAGCATTGAGTTTCCCTTCAATCAACAACTCATATATAAACAGTAAAATATATTTTTTTTTAGAATTAGACATCAGTGACATTGAACCAAATTGTGCTGGTTATTTGTTGAATTAGCAGCGCATATGATTATGTAAATGACGTAACCAAACGAATGAATGAAATGGATTTAAACCATTTAATTAGTGATGCTAGATAAAACATTTTGTGAAAGTTGCTGTCACCACGTCTTTTAGTAACACAGTGAAATTTTCACTGCAACCAACATTTTTACTACCTCGTGAAATGTGGTTTACAGTATTCTCTTTACTTGAAATCTGTTATTGATTCAATAAATTGGTATAAATTGAAATCAAGAGCTTTTTACTGCAACTACCAGAATGGCTTTATTGACAAACAGTCTTCAAATATTTGACAGATTTCGCATCCTTGAATCCATAAAATGTTTTATATTATATTTAATATGGTTGAAAGGAAGTTCAAATAACGTTCATCCCAATTTGGCGATGTCCAAATTGTGTGATTTCATACCCTGTCTATATACATACATATACATACAATTGGATTATTCAAGTGGAGAGATTTTGTATCTAATTATATCTAAATATACACTATTGTGTATTTGAGGAAATAAACTTAAGATCAAGCTGTGTGTAGTACAGCTCAGTTCATTGTTGTGAGGTGAGCTTGAATATTGTATGGCAATCGGCAATGCATATTTGTAGGGTGGTCTTGGTGAAAACCAAATAAAAGTCACTACTTTCTAATAATAGCACTCTTGGTCACGTGACCCATTGTTCTGGTCGTCCATTTATTACTGAAATCTACACATCTTCATTTTTGAGTGGATTGTAAACTGCTACGGATGTATTCATATACAGAGTGTAAATCGCAATCACAACTGTCTATAGTGCTGACCAAGCATTACGTAATGTTATTAATTCTTTATGAAAATGTTCCATTTAGACAAAAGTGAGCATAAACTAAAATAGCAGCATGCATTTATAATTGAAACAAATGTCACAGTGAAGTAACGCAGTAAAGGTTGAGAATGTTTTTATATCATTTGTGCATGCTATCAAAATTTAATCTGTTTTATGTGCTGTTTTTTTTTTTGATGAGGGCAAGGTCTTCAATTCGGCTTGAGTCTCCTTAAAGCGCAGTGGTTGTCGTGCTGTGCATGTGCAAGATTTATGTTCATAAACATTGATTTTCCCACGATCCAATACGGTCTTCAAATGGAAATCACAAGTATGAGGTTTGACTTGGGCATGACTTGCACTGAATATCGCAGAGGACTTCTTTGATACTTTTCAATCACATAAAAAGTACCTAATTAAAGCTTGGAAACGTCTCAGTTTGTATTCGTTGATCTGCACAACTGTCAAAATCGCCATCTTTGTTTATATGAGACCCATATAACTCGCGCATGCGTGGCGCGACGACTACAGCTCTTTAATTCATAAATGACATTACAAAATGGCATATACCAAATTACAGCATATCATTTGTACTTGAATCTATTTCAAAATATAAAAAGAATTTACCATAAACCACTTCTATTTTTTTAAAAGTTCATTTCACTTAAAACTATACACCCCCCGAAACACACACGCACTGACCGCAAGGCGTTGAACAACAGTCTCTAGATGGACTGTAGTTGAACTTCGTACATTAGCCGTTACTTTAATCGATGCTCACGCTAGTGCATGTACATAATTTGTTGGTAGTACGACAACTCTTCAAGAACGAGAAAAAATGTATTGCGTGTGTGAAAACGCAACGTTCCATTTCCCATAGGCCAAATTTAACGGAAACAAACCTGGTTCTGAATCACCATCCGCCATTTTGGAAACGCGTTTTTTTTCTGCTAAGCTACGTGGTCAAGGTAAACCCCCGACAACTTCAAGTCTTGATTTGTAGTCTACCCATTCAAAACGAAACGAACGCGCAAAAACGCGATTGAGATAACGATCAACAAACATGTCACAATTTGGCGGCAAATAAAGATTGATTGAAGTATACATTTTACTGTCAAGCTAAAGACAAACACGAAATCATGTGATAAATTCTGTGTTTGATGATTGGACAGCACAAGCTTTGACCCTGACATTTTTCGATGCATATTTCGGGTATTGCTTTGACTTGGAGTTTGGGAAACACGTGCTCTGGGTCTGCCCTTTGTTTATTATGCAACAATGCATAAGATAAGTATGGTGGTCACACATTAGAACACAAGGAAGCCCAAACAATGAATGTTTTGGTAATCTGCGCAACTCGGAACTGAAATTTCTGCGCGAAAGTTGGGTTGGTCATGTGAATGCCTAGGAGGTCCCTGATTGGTTGGATTTCAGGGCAATAGAGTTGTACAGCGTGAGGTGGCTCGTGTCATCCTACCAACTTTTCTTGTGGACCCACGAGTTTACGCGGATTTACGACAGAATATCTAACGCAATTCTACACAATGAGCTCAAGGCTTGGAGTTTACTCTTTGATCTCCGTTATCCTGGGCTAAATGCGTTGCAAAAATGGCGAACGGGCAGTTGCAGGGAGACGAGAAGTCAAGCTTCAGCGCACAGGAAAAAGACTTGATAGCCGAGTATGATAGGTGAAAACAGTCTCCAAAAATTTTGACCGTTGTATCTGTATTGATTTTGCTTAGCCGGTACTTTCATCACCGTAATTATCTCCATTTCCTTTACAGTCGACTGTTTGGATTTCTTAACCTGAACGGCGATGATGGAACAGAGAAAAGAGCGCTCATTGAGAAGGTAGGTTTTCGGTTGATTATTGTGGATCTGCAGTACGTACGCAGGCTCGGTGAATGGGGTTCTCAATACACACACAAAGAATAATTCTGTCACAAATAACAAAATTTCCCGTCTCACATGGATAGTGGTTACAATTTTCAGTAGGACTGAAATTTAGTGTTATTATATTCAATATTTGCAATGGTTACATTTGCTGGGAATTTGGTCTACTTTTGTTTGTAATGGGAGTTGGGAAAGTTTGTTTGGTCCAAACGTTACAGCACCATGCTCGGACCGAACGTGAAATTAATCCAAGATGGCGGGCTTGCGCTCGCGAATATTGGTAGCAGTCTTTGTATAAAACAGGGCCGTTTACATCCACAATTATTGATTTGTGTGGTAAATTCCACTCATTATGATTAATGACATAGTTATAATTCGGTATACAAAGAAGCAGATATAGACTGTTTCGATCACGGGCCGCGATGATCATCTACAAATGCTTGTGATTGATGTGCTGGCGAAACCACACACAACGAGCGAAACATGATTAACTAGCAAAACTCTATTGTTTTTGTTTACCGTTGGTTATTGTTGTTATTGACCTTGTAAGGTCAATCAAATTTCAAACTGGCGATCTTATGCCCATATGAAACACTGCATTTCCCGGAACTGACGTTGAGTCGCCTCGGATCTCAACAAGAATGTCATGTAATTTGTAAAGACTGATGTTTTAGCCATGTCACGCCCTTCGAAGTCCCATAGAAAACTCTGCTTGACCAAGAATAAAATTTGTTGAACAGGTGCATGGAGTGCTGTTGCTAACTAACCTTGTATAACCCCCTCCCCAAGATTTGTATTTGTTTGTGAGTCCCAACCCCCATGTTGTGTACATATGACATAGAAATGCTAATATTATCTGAGATAATTGCTCTGGTAATGGACTTACCCAAGTTACCATAGATTTATCAGTGTAACAATGTTCAGAAATTCGAAGAAATAAGATGAAACATATTTTATCTAAAGCATTCGTAAGATTACAGTGGTTTACACTGAACACAACCTCCCCCCCTATTGGCATCACTCACTGGGGCTGATGGTTTTTGTGGGTTTTCATATAATTTTTCTGTTTGAAGACCTGTTGTATGTCATCGGTTTGTGATGATCTGCTTTGTTGTTATCAGGTGCTCTGTTTGATTGTCGTGTTTTTCCCACTGAATTCCAAATCCTCAAGTCGTATTTTGCTGCAAACTAACTCAGACCTTTTGATGTGTTTTGTTTTCCATATTGTATTGTTAGTCAAAAATGTTATTGAACTTCTTTACCCTATTTGATTAAAATTTACATAGAAAGTTCAGTTATACATCTTGTTTTGAAAACAGTCTGTTATAACAAAAAGGCACTACTTCTCCAACGTAGTGATTATCACCAACTGAAAGACATTTGCATAAGTTTTGAATTTTGTACTAATTAGCTTAAAAAAATCCTGTATGCAAAAAAATTATTGATGAGATTTCTTCTCAAACATTGGTAAAACCCACCCTCAGAATATTAGAGCATGGAATTTGTTAGGCTCCTAAAAATGCACAGACTGTTGGACTGTTCGAAGGAAAGTTCTTTATACCGAGGGTACACCTGGCAATTGAGACCCTAATTTGGCTATGGATTCAAAGAAATCTCCCTGATTTTGAGCAGGTGTAGGATATACATTTTGTTTAACCAATAATGGCATAGTTTCTGATATGACCTAAACATGACCTACTTTCTAACCCAATCTTCTGACTGTTATAGTGTCAGTCCATAGTTGTTTACCTGTATTGTGTTGCTGTAACAATAGGTCCTGAGGACAGAGTACCATCTCGATTCAATTATTCTAGGCTGTTTTTTTTTAAATAGTGGGGGAAACGATGGATAGTCTTGTTTCCTGAATGAGTAATTTCATAAGAGTCAACATTTAGATTTATTTTTTCTTGCTTTCCAATATCTTCACCAAAATCCAATCAATACTAACTACTCTAACAAGTTGGTAAAATTGAACATCAGCGCTGTACCATTCGGCTAATAAACGGTTGCAGTTGTCGTTAAGTTTTTCGCTTGAGATATTCTGGTTCTCTAACTTTTGATCTATGGTCAACTCAAGTCGTGCAGTTTGAATCAAATTCAAATTTTGGACTATCGAGCATGTTACTGCACAAATATGTAATGTATTATGGGAGATAATGTATATAATTGAGAACTAGTATCTCCCTGTAAAATCGCTAAATTATGACAATTTTTAGTCCCCGTTCAGACGCAGTCTGAAAACGGGGACTTATGTTTTGACCTCCGTGCGTCTGTGCGTGCGTCTGGACCTGTATCTTAGAAATGCCTGGACCAATCACAATCAAACTTCACACATACATCATACATGATATTATACATATGCACGTCAATTTGTTTCACGATCAGATTCAAGATGGCCGAATGGCGGCCATTTTTGTGCTAAAAATAATTTTTCAGCTGTTTACAGATGGATTTTGTTCAAACTTGGTACATATATTAGACATTACAGGTTCCTGATGCACATCATTTATTTTTCAGATCGGATTCAAACTGGCTGTCTGGCGGTCATTTTGTTTTAATGAATAGGCTTCTAGACCCATATCTCCGACTTGTTTTGACTGATTATCTTCAAATTGTAAATATTCATCATACATCATGTCATAGATAAACAGATATATTGGTTTGACGATCCTATTCAAAATGGCCAAATGGTGGTCATTTTTGTGCTCAAAAATCATCAAATATCAAGCATTTCTGGCATTTATGGATGGATTTCGTTCGAACTTGGTACATACATTAGACATTACGGGTTCCTGTGCACGTCATTTTATTTTTCAGATTGGATTCAAAATGGCTGACTGGTGGCCATTTTGTTTTTATGAGCTTCTAGAGCCACATCTCTTAAATGCTTTGACTGATTATATATTCAAATTTTATATATTCGTTATACATCATGTTATATATATACATGTATTCAAAATGGCTGATTTTGAATGCTGTTCCAGAGCAATATCTCTCAATATGGACAAGTACTTGTTTGACGATCAGATACAAATGTCAATCATTTTAATGTTAAAAAATCATATTCCTGACATGGTTATATTCCAGCTATATAACTATAAATAAAACTATATATCTTAAATTTGATAACTAACGGGGACTGTGCTATGCATAACATTTTAATGTTAAAAAATCATATTCCTGACATGGTTATATTCCAGCTATATTACTATAAATAAAACTATATATCTTAAATTTTATAACTAACGGGGACTGTGCCATGCATGGCTTGTTTTAAATGATTTCAAAAAGTATATGACTTTTCAACTCAGGTCATCAAGCAAAATTTTGCGATATGACTCAATAATCTTGCCATAGAAACAAGTGTAAAAATGATAATTTTGATCATTTTCCGTGATATTTTGGACTCTCTGGGATCTCAAAAAATCATCCGGTGTCCCTATTTTTGTTTTCATTTTCGCTATTCTGATGATATGAACTCATAATAGGGAAAGTATAATGAACGTAACATATAATTCAGCTTGTTCCTCCTTAAGTCTAGAGTTTTAACTCCATAAGATATGTTTTATTATAAAACAACAGGTCTGTTATTACATTATTTACACTGAAAAGTTGTGACCTTTCTTTGAACCCTCATAATTAAGCCTACTATTCAGGGCTCAACATTGACAGCCCAATGTCCTCATAGACAACCAATAATCCTCTGCCATTATATTTGTACCCCAACTTGACTACTACAAATTAAAAAAAAAATTTTTTTTTTAAATAAACTGATTGTCTTCAAAGCTATGGGTGATAGCTACCACAAAGCTACAGATACGGAAAATATTTGTGTTCACACTTTTATTAAACTAAACTCAGTATATAACAATGGACTGGATTTGTAGCTTCCCAATCTGTTAGCCCGGCCAGGTTTCACAGATGATTTGTTTCATTTCAAGCCCTGAGGTGTATACAAATGCGGGTATAAGCTATCTGTTTGCAACTGATTTACACCCAAGTGGCACTGCTTGTCGAGATCTAGGTCATTGACCTCAGCCGTGATTCATCACTTGTGTGTGCATGTCAGCCATGTTGCCACAATCATGGCTATGTTTTTGGAGATGTAATAAATGTGTTGGCTCAATGGCAATTTAAATTGCTTAGGTTTTTAACCCGCCAGATCAGGAAATATATATGGTGTTCCTTGCTGAAGTGTTATCTTTAAATGGCTTGTTTGGTACATGTTTTTTAATTATTGTTTTTTACTCTGTTTCAAAAGATTGTGGATTATTGAAACTAAGAGACTGTTTCATACTTGTAATATTAAAAACTCCATTGTCATTGTCAGCTCCATGCTGAATATCAGAACAGCCTTGAAACTAATGACTGTCTCAGTGGTGAAATTTCATTTGACCTAGTTTCTACTGAGGTCAGCCTGTAAACAATAGCTGTCTGTTTGTTAGAGACGAGCCTAGATGCAACTGTTGGTCAGAGGTCTAGTATGTACCTGATTTGTAGTTGATGCTTTTTGTCCATTGTTCATTAATACAGAAATTACCTTTACTTTATTCACTTTTTAACACCACTACGAATGTCGATGAATATGAGCTGTGCATAATCGAGACATTTCTCATCCGACCTGTGCCTTTTCTCTATTGAAGTTATTGTACTAGCCTTGTCCTCTACCGTGTTTGTCAATGGTGATAATAATATTCATAATGAATAGTGATCCAAATTGAGTTAACAAAACATAGTAAACTTGTGAGGGTGTAGAATAACTTATCACCAAGGTTGCGAAGATTTTCATAAACCGGGATCCTGAAGTGTTTTTCTCATGTTATTCTTGTAATATTTTCAAAAATTTACAATTTAAATTTATCACTCAATTGTCTTGTAAGAACTTACTGTGAATGGTAGTGGAGTGGTATTTGGTACAAACTTGTTGAAAAAACTAGAATGTGTTTACTTGACAGTAT